ACTATGTGACGACTTGGGGAGGCGTGCGACCGCAGCGCGCCCGCCGCAGGCTCGACGGGGCGCGCGTGTCAGCGAGAAAGTTGCGGGCGGAGCCACATACTGGGCTGGGTTTTTACTGGGCTGGGTCTTTAGGCATTGTGGGGTTGGCACTCCCATCGACCCTCATGACCTCCTGCGGTCTCTGAGATGGACACCAGTGGGTGTGGGACCACAGGCAGGATACACTCGAAGGCTGGGTAAGCAGTAGAGGTCGATACTCGACGCGTCCCACATGGTCTGTGTCGCTGTCGGCACGCTGTCGACAGGACGTCGAGCGACACCGGTGGCAGTGCCACCCAGGAGTGGTCGGTCGGTCTCCCGTCATGAGAGAGCCACCATGTGATCCGTATGATGATTCCTGACAACCGCCTCAGTCAACTTTCGTCACAGTTCCCGCTCTGAGAGGAGCTGCGGGTCAGTTCGACAGCTGGAGCTGTGTCGCCGGCGTGCGGCGGCCTGCCTCCGGAGGTGCCTCTGAGGTGGACATTTTTTGGTCACCGTGAGAGAACGCGTTGGAATTTTTACTCCGGAACTTCAACTCCGCACGCGCACCGGCCAGGGCTACAATAGTGCCAGTGAGGCGAAGGCGCGAGTCGGAAGGCCGCGACCGTGATTTGGTCCCTCAATTTACCTACAATCGCTGTGAACCCAGCCACGTACCCGACTTTTGGAAGGCGAGTCGGAGTCCCCCGCGCCACGGATGCTGGCCGCCGACGAGCGCGCTCGCGCTGCTCGTCAAAATGGCGGCGGTGGCGATTGCCAGGCCCCCGTTTCCAAATCCGAAGAGTTTTCAGATGGACCATCAATAGTTACCGAGATATGGCCGCTCAAAGTCTGAGACCTGTCACAAAAGTCTTTTGAGGAAAAGTGATGCACGTATTGGGAGCGCGACTGCCTGGCGCTCCGCTGAGCGCTGTACTACAAGGATGTGCTGACTCGATCCTACCCCGAATTCTCTCTCTCGAGTTCTTCTACCCCCACGACTCGGAGCGCGAATGTGACAGGACCATCGGGTCCTTCAGCCACCAAAGTGAGATCACCCGAGAGCAGCTGAGTCTGGCCTCTGGCCTCGCCTCCCTCTCCTTCAGGCATTCGTGGCATCCTATGGGTCGTCCAGAGTATCGACCTCTGGCTTGTCAGCCGGTCACTTGATGACACCATGAGTTCGAGCTCCACAATCAGGACGAGCAGTGGCATCCGCGAACGGTCAAGAAGACGGAGGACACGCCGGAAGGAGTTGTGTTGGGTTCGTACCTCCATGGCATGCAGGACCAGCTGCAGGGTCACAATGCGTCATGCGGGCTGCTTCGGCGCCCACTCAACACCGCGGCAGAGGTCAACTCACACACGCACATGGTCATCATGTCAAAGGCGGAGAAGCAAGCGTACACGCAGCGCTACCTGTCCAAACAGACTGGAAAACAGACCGGCAACAAACGTGCCGCGGGGGGGGGGGAACGAGCAGACCAAGATGTTCAACGGTGCCCCGGCCGGTTTCGAGGATGGAGGGCGAACCGCACCGGAGTGCTATGAGTTCGCGCGGTCAACTTGGAAGGAGCTCGCACCCAGGTGGGCAGATGAGATCAAGCCTCTCCTTGAGCAGGCCGTCAAGGAGTGGTAGGTAGTAGCGAAGAGTGGAGAGTACTCTGGTTTTCCTCTTGTTTAGCAGAATGCTCTCACGTAAAAAGACATGCAAAAGGGGGGAGCAGGACGGTGGCACGGCTCGGCTTTTCTTGCCCTCATGCAGTGCGGGTCGCGAGTCGGCTCACTGAGGGATACACTCTGTCCGGATGACCGCCGCGCTCGATGGATTTTTATTGGCTTCCAGCACCTCCGCCCACCGCTGGCCGCTGGGTTGCCTCTGCGAAGGCCCCGATGGAGGACTTGCAGGTGATTGGCACGATTCAGCCATCGGAGGCGCCGCTGCACCTCGTCGGCTTTGACCCTGGAGAGGAGCTACTCTGGTCAGCGAGCCAGGCCGGCATGGTTTACGCGCACCTCATGCTCTCGGGCGCACCGCACGTTGCATTTCGGACGGACCGGGAGATGTCGCCGGCGGTGGCGGTGTTTCCGCACAGCTCGGGGTTGGTGACGCTCACCTACGCCGCGGCACACTTTATCTCGCGCGGCGGCGTCGAGCTCGCCGAGGTGCGGCACGAGTCGCTCGGCGTCCTCTCTGCCGGAGTGATGTGCGCGAGCGGCCGGACGCCAGCCGTCGCCCTCTGCGGGGCGGGCACGGCAGACGGCACAGAGGGGAGCGGACCGAGTTTGGCGCTGATGGATCTCTCCACCGCGCAGCTCACGGTGCAGCTGCCGCTCGAGATAGTTCCGACCGTCGCTCGGTGGGAGGGTCGGTCCGGGCTGCTTGTCCTGGGCGGCGGCGACGGCCTCGCTCGCGTCTTCGACGTGCGTTCGGGCGTGAAAGCGGTCGGCGCAGCGCCGCTCTTCCCGCGCGGCGTCATCCACGACCTAGACGTGCAGGACAACTCGCTCGCCGCCAGCGCCCTCCGCGCGCAGCTTGGCCCGCTTGGCCACGATGAGTACGTCTTTGACTCGAACCTGCGCACCGCGGACCTCCGCCAGCTGTCGCGGCCCGGCGCGCAGCTCTTCTTCGCGCCCGGTGCCGCCGCGCTCCGCTGGCGCGGTTCCGCGTCCTCGCTCCTCGTCGCCTCCCCTGCAGGGGGCCTGCAGCGGCTCGAGCCGCGCGGGGGGATGACGGCGCCGTCCGAGAGCCTTCCCTGAACCTTCTGGGAAGCTTCCCATAGGCTCGACCCGCGCGGAGGGATGACGGCGCCGTCCGAGGTCGCGACCGGCGCGGCGCACCGCGGCGGCCAGCTGTGCGCGCTCAGCCTCTCCTCGTCGGGCCTGCTCGTCGCCGCTTCCGACTCGACCGGCTGCATCGACGTCTGCGCGCCCACCGAGCAGACGCAGATCGCCGTCAACTTTTCGTCTGTGCCGACCGACGGGCTAAAGCCGGCCGAGCCGCGGGCCTCCTCGGGCGAGAGCTTCCCCTGAACCCTCTGGGGAGCTCCCCATAGGCCCGAGCCGGCCGACCCGCTCCCCTTCCTCGCGTGGGGAGAGCCGCCCAGCGCGCTCGGGCTCCTCCCCGACCCGCCGCCCTACGCCGATGCCCCGCTGGCGAGCGACTGGCCCGCAAAGCAGCTCGGCAAGCGAGGCACGCGGTACGCCGAGCCGGAGGTGCTGCTCGCCACGATCCGCTCGCTGGCGCCCAAGCAGCACGTCTCCTTCGGCGCAGTGCCCGCGATCTACATCCCGAACACAGTCGGGAGGCTGCCGAATACGGCCATGCCGCCCCTCTCCCGGCTGCACAAGCCCGGGATCGCGCGGGGCGGCGGCAAGGAGCACGCGCGTGCCGCCGATAGCGACGGCGGCGACGAGGAGGACCGCGCAGCCGAGGAGATGG